AGGAAGAGTATGTCTCCTTTAGGACACTCCACAGTTAATGGCTGTAGCCACGAATTAACTCATTGAACATATTCAAAATATAGGAGAATGGGTTGGAAAGAGGCAAATCATGGAAATATTGCCAAGGTTTTTAATCTACAGCATATCAAGTTCGTTTTTGTTTCTCCTCTGCCTGTGTGTCCTCAGTGGCTTGTGCCCATGGTCAAGAGAAACCTAGAGAATTTCTCAATTGCTTTTTTCTTAGCTGTATTTTGTGCTTTCTTGGGTCTATGTTTGTTCAGGGTTTTCATTCCAATAAAATCTCAATCTTTTATTTCCCATAAACTGAAATATTTCTGAGAAATAATTCTGAAGCACCTTAGGTTCTTTCTTGTTTATCTCAGTTAAGTCTAATGATTGAATCCCTGGCGTAAACATTTTGATTTCGAAAAGTTGTTCCTGTTTATAATTGTTAAATGAAATCTCTCACTTGTAATGTTTTCTGTCCCCAAATATACTGGAAAAGGGCAGATAGTACTGCATATGTACTGTGCTACTTGCATCCTAAATACTTGTGGAGTAGCTTGTTGCTCTTACCCTTCCATCCTACTTTTCAAAATCAGGCACAAGCCCTGGCTGTCTAGGTCCTTGATACGCTGTGGCTTTTCCAAGAGCTCCCAGGTCAGTAAACATTGTCTGATGGATGCCTGTTTCTATGTGTGTTCATGAAAACTGATCAATCTAATGGTCCGTGTTATCTTTTGTTCTGCCTGCTCTTAACTGAGAGAAGACTGAAGAGTCTCTGTGTTGCTCAGTGTGTTCCCAAAACCTCAGTGTGAATGCCAGTCATTCCTTCTGTTCATTTTTAGTGCCACATTGGTTCTGCTGGGTTAGAAGTGCCACGTTTTCAGTCACGGCAGCTACCAGCTGACACTGGTCTTTTCTGTGTGTCCTGAAGGACCCTAGAGAGTGGGTTCAGTGGTGAGCTGTGTGTGCCCTGATCCAGATTGTGTCACCTTGCCTGTGGGCCACAGGATTTCACAGGTGGTAAAGACTTGCTTGAATTTCAGCTGGTTGGGCCCATACTTGTTCTTTCATGAAGTTATCTGAGCTCTCAAAGTGAACATGACTTTCATTTGGTGAAATCTGTGGTTTGGACATTCTTACATGATCTGTCCAAAGAGATAAAAACCGCTATGCTGAAATGAACTCGTAGATCATTTATGTCAATGTTGAATAACCTAAATACAACTACGTTCCTTTAGGGAGGACATTTTTGCTGTCTTTGCTATTAACTCTTTACATAAAGTAGTGTAAAACTATGAGTTTTCTAACAGCAGCTCTATCGGCCCTGCTGTTTGATGAATGTCTTGATGAATCTTGTGCTCAGTTAAGTGGCAGTGTGACTAGTGGTGATGGGTAGTTTCACGTGAAGCTTGGATATATATGATTAAGGTGCCAAAGCAGAAATATGCAGTTGAAGTTGTTTGTGTCTGAAGCACCTTTTCCTCTTTGAGGGATCCATGGCTGTTGATGTACATTAGGCATGCTTACATTTGTTGAATATAAATAGTTAAGAGCTGGAATATTCAGATCTCTCTTACTGTATGAAAATGAATTGCAAACCTGCAAAATCCGAAAAGCTGAATTCAGTGGCATTGTTCACCTGCATATCTAAGCATTTGAAGCTTTATACCATTAAATAAGGGAATTTTGAAATCTATCATTTAAGAACATCATGGTATTTAATATAGTATAAACTAGTAAATGTAGCATTCTGCAAAAAGTGAAGTGCATTTTGAAAGGTTGAGGAGACATGAAGATATTGATGCAAGGAAGCAGAGAGTAAAGGTTTCTTTTACACTCTACGGAAATTTGACTTGTCCAAAGTAAATGTCTAATTGATGACGTTCACGCAGAAGACCTCCAGCAATAACAGTATGTGCGACAGATGCAGAGATGTCTGTCCAGATCTGTAGGAACCTGGAACAGGAGCTCTGAGGTACGGATTGACTGCTTCACTTCAGAGAGCGCTGTTCAGATACTGGTGATGGTGGTGCTCTAGTAGTGATACTGATGACTGTTCCGCTGACTGGCTTAATGGGTAAGAAAGGAGAGGGAATACAGAGTTCAATATTCCCGTGTCCCTCGGAGCTTCAGTAGTACAAAGGTCTAAATGCATACAGAGAGAAGATTGAAAAGCTTAGGTAGACAAACTCTTTAAACTTTGTCAAACTTATCTACTTGATCTGTAGCAAGAATATATCTTTTGCTGTTCCCAAATGTAGGGCATTTTAGAGGCTTCCTAAACATAAATGAGGTAGCACAGTTGAAAATGTTTGGTACTGGTGGCTCAGGTGACATTATGAACTTGTATGTGGTACATAACAAGACATCTTTTTTTTTTCTAAATAGAATAGCTCACAGGTTTGCAATGTATGACTATCTTACATTAATATGCTTCATATATCAAGACATAAATGTGTTTTTAAGAAGCACATTGTTAAAAGACAACCTGTATACTAAGCCTCAGAAGCTGTTTGTGGGATGCACAGTTACACTCCTTCAGTGAATTCACATTTGTATTTTGATTAAATGGCTGGTGTGCTGAAATGTCTGAGGATTGTCTGAAAAGTTAGTGGCAAATACTTATCTTTTAATTCTCTTCCTCACAGGACTCCTTGGTTAATGACCCAAATTTCTTATGAGAGACTTCATCTATATGGATTCTCTGATTTAGTAGAGGGGTCAGCTTGCACTCCAGTCTGTCCTTACTCATAGGAGAGGACACTTTCATGAGATGTGGAGGACTTTGTTATTTTATTAAAGTGTTTGAAATTGCTCAAAAGCTTTTAGGGAATGGGTAAGGGTAAATGGTCACTGAATCTTTTCCTAAGGGAGATATGTTAAGGAACAGAAGCTTTTATTTTAATGAAGTTTTTCTGGTAAGGTACGGCTGGAGCTCTCTGGTAGTTTACAGTAACAAAAGAAAATGTCAATATCTCAAATATTTAACACCGCTATCTGGAAGTGTGTGTCCCCTCTAGCCACAGATAGAATTTCTAATGTCATGTAATGTAGCTAACTGATCTTGCAGCATTCCTAAGAGTTCGTTCCTGACATGTTCATACTCCTTGTTACACAACAGCTGACATTAGTCAAAGCCTAAAACTGTGTTTGTGAGGTTTGAATGTGTGATTTGATCTCACGCTTTTAGAGTTTAAACTCACTACACTTGATGAAGCGTTTGGACAATACAGCAACCCCTGTTTCTCTTTCTCAGTAAGTAACAGATGCGGGTGAAGGATCCATCAAGAGCCAACCCTGAGAAACTGAAGAGAAGCAAAAGGCCTAACAGGCCACAGGATGAGGACTCCTCAGATGACATTTCAGGTAAATATACTAAGTGATGTTTGGCCCTAAGGTTGAGGGCTTCGGTGTTGACTTATGAAAACCACAAATCAGCAGTACCATGAAATACTTTTCTTCTTTCAACCTGTAACAGAAATATCCCCAGTCAAGTGTTTATGACATGATCGGTTGTTACCCTACACAACTGCCTAAAGGGCTGAAGAGTTGGTTGATCTTCAGTGACAGCCTCTTCAGAGCAGGAGAATGGGTTCCAGTGTGCAGAAGGTCAAGCATGCGTGGCAGGAGGCTGCTTGGCTGAACAGGGAGCATCTGACTGAGCTTAGAGACAAAAAGGAAGGGCAGAGAGGGTGGAGGCAGGTTTGGGCTGCCCTTGCAGCACCCTGCATGTGCAGGGATGGGGTTAGGTAAGCCAGTCTCAGAGTTGAATCTGATGAAGTTTGTGAAGGGTAAGATTGACGGATACTGTGCCAGTAAAATGAAGGCTAGGGCAAGGGCAAACCTGCTGCCTGAGGGGGCAGAGGACCAAGAACAATGGGCATGGGAAAAGGCTGAGGAGCTCAATCCTTCCTTTGCTTCTGTCTTCACATGGAAGCTCCTCACTCAGTCCTCTCTGGTCCCTGAGCCTAGTGCAAGACTCTGGGGTTTAAGCATTGTCCAGAGCATAAGACTGAGAGCTGTTAAGTGAACTGGACATGCACAAGTCCATGGGATCAGATGGGATGTGTCTGAAGGTGCTGAGAGAGCAAGGTGATGTCATTGTGAGGCTATGCTCTGTCATCTTCATGACAACAAATTGGGGAGAGTAACTGCTATGCTAGAGGGTAGCTCTGCCATTGAGAGTCGCCTATACTGGCTGGAAAAATGGGCTGGCAGAAACTTCACAGAGTTCAACAAAGGCAAGTGGAGAGTCCGGCACCTGTGCTGAAATAACCATATGCAGTTACAGAGTGGGAATCAATGGCCTGAAAGCAGCTTTGCAGAAAGGGTCCCGGGGGTGTCCTAGTACACATGCTGAATAGAAGCAAGCCATGTGGCTTGTGCCTACTGTATGCTGGAGTGTATTGACTAGAGCGCAGGTTGAGGTATGTGATTCTTCCCATCTTTTCTGCACTTGTGAGACTTCATCTGAGTACTGTGTCTGGTTGTGGGCACCCTGGTACAAGAAAGACATGGACTTGTCAGAGTGAGTCCAGCAGTTGGTCACCCCCTCCACATGGTTAAGGAGATGGAGGACATGATGCATGAAGAGGGGCTGAAGGGAATGGGTTTGTTCAGCCAAAGGTGTGAAAGTATAGTTTCTTTGACCACCTGTAGGTGGTTATAGAGAAGGCAGAGCCAGACTCTTCTAGGAGGTCCACAATGAAAGGACTAAAGGCAACAGACAAAAGTTAGGGCGAGGAAAATTTGTTAGGTATAGGGAAATGTATTTTATTTTCACCATGGGGATGGTCAAACAAAAAACTGATTTTCCAGTGAGGTTGTGAAACCTCTGTCCTTGAAGATATTCAACACTCAGATGAACAAAGTTGTCAGCAGCCAGATCTAAATTATTTTTTGACCCTGCTTTGAATGAGGGTTTGGATAAGAAGACCTTCAGAGGTCCCGTCAAACATAGGTTATTCTGTGATGTTACAGTGGAATTTGTGCAAAAAATACGCCAAAGAACGATGGTTGATATTCATGTTCAGAACAGGCAGTTGTAGTACAGATGCGTGGGTATTTGGAAATCCTCCTTTATGGATAGGAAAGGAGGTCACTGCCTGTGTTGTTATATGCAAAAAATAGATTTATGTAGTATTTTACTGTTGACAAAAAAACCCCAACCAAACAACAAAAAAGCAGGAAATGAAGTTGGTACAAAAGTAGGCCTTGTACTTTTGTACAAACTAGCTTATCTGTTTTTAAGAGGTGGCATTTGTTGGCTTAAAAAGGATTTTCTTTATAGAAAGACTGAAATAGGTCCTTCATAAAATTCAGTTCATGAGGAGCAGCTGGCTGATTTTTCCTGTGTTAGTTCTTGGCTATTTTTTGCCTAATGCTGAAATGGTTGAAGATTCTGCTCTTTTAATGTACATGTGCTCCCTCTCATAGCTATTATTTTTAATGGATGAAAGTGAGTATGTGTCCTTTTCTCTAGGCTTAACCTGCCAGCACGTGAGCCAAGCAGTGGATGTGCATCATGTGAAGAGAGTGGTAGCTCAGAGCATCTGGTCGATATGTGCAGAATGTCTGAAGGAGAGGCGGATGAGTGATGGTGAGCCTGTGGCACCTTCAGACATATGGCTGTGTCTCAAATGTGGTTCTCAGGTAAGCATACGTTGGAAATTTACTGAGGTGGATAGGCCCTGATTTTCTAAAGCATGTGACTGGTATAGTCCCTTGTCTGTTTGGCATCTCATTACCTTCAGAGAAATAGTGTGATGTAAGTGCTTAGTTGTGAAAGTCCATGCTTCAGCTTCTCCACTGGGATGTGGCCTTACGTTCTTCTTGTCTGTTTTTTGGCAGTGTTTTGGGTTAGCTTCATGTGTTATGCTGTGCTTTGATGTCACAAGTAGTAAGTTAGGGCACTATAGCTTTCTGTCTAATTTTGAAAAGTGAAGGTTTTGTAGTTTACTTACTAATAATATAGTCTTTTCCTATCTCCCTTTTTTCCCCTTACTATATTGATGTTTCTGTTTTTAGGGATGTAGTAAGAACTCGGAAGGCCAGCATTCCCTGAAACACTTCCAAACAGCACGCACAGAACCTCATTGCATTGTTATCAACCTCAGCACGTGGATTATATGGTAAGAACGAGTATGCAGGTGTTCGCATATGGTTGTATATAAGGACTACTCATAAAGTAGTGTCTTCTCATGATAAAGAATAATTCTGACAGATAAAATGAATACTTTATGTAGAGGAAAGGCCTTAGGACTCTCAGAGGGGTCACAAATCAGTACTAAGAAGTTTGAGTCCATTGTGTTCTGTAGTGATTTGGCTGGTTATAGGAGTTTGTCCTTCCTGCTTGTTTCTGTCTGTTTATTTGCATTGAGATTATTTAAATCTATAAGTATTACAGTGAATTGGGACTGATCTATAGAAGAGCATATATGAGATGAGATAATTCAATTTTATTCCTCTTTTTTAGTGTGAAAAATTGAAACCTAGAGCTTAAGTAATTTGTGTAAGGTTGTTTGAATTTTTAGAGCTGGGAGGTGCATCCAGAGATCCTGAATTCCAGTTTGTTTCTTCTGTCTTCAGGTGTTATGAATGTAATGAAGAGCTGTCAACACATTGCAACAAAAAGGTTTTGGCTCAGATAGTTGACTTTCTTCAAAAACATGGTTCCAGGGCTGAACCAAGTAAGTTTACACAAATAATTTTATCTGGAGACATCTGTAATGTGCTATCTCTAAAAATGAGCTTTTCAGATTTTGAGTCATGTTAAACGTACAATTGAAAAATTATGTATGATGCAAGTATAATATAATTTGTAATTGCACAATTACTTCAGCAAGAAATGCCTGTCAAAACATAATGTCATTTTTTTTCTACAGTATGATTACATTTAAAAAATATTTTGGGCACAGTAGCACAGTTTTTCCAAATTTTGTCTTTAATGAAGAAAGTTTATTGTAAATAAGATGTTATCTTAAATAACATGCTATATAAATTACTGCACAAAAACTATACAGAAGCATAAATTAATTGAATTTTCCTAGGGTGGATATGTCACATCTTAAAATTTTTCAGATTTAAATTTGTTTTACACAGTTAATTAGATTTGTTTAAGTGGATTTTCTAATACTCTGTTGCTGGATGTAATGCTTTCTGTTCATTTATGTTATTGGGTTTTAATTGATAGAAAGCTCATATCTATTAATAGAAAATAGTATTAAATTATTTTCTTATGTTAGCAGCCTATTATATCTTCTCAATGTATGTAATAGTAGATGGAACTTTGTATATATGGCCCTCAACTGTCTCCTCTTGATGGTGTTGATGTCATCCCTACTCTAACACACTCGGCAGCATTTCTGGCTTGTGAGTTAGAGAGTGCATTGGATTCCAGATTTTCTTCACAAAAACCAGCTTAAGTAAACTTTCAAAACAATCAGTTGCAATTTTTAGCAGAGATAAACAACTGGTTTAAGTAAGAATGGAAAAGGATTGCCTTACTGAATTAGACTAGGTTTTCCTCTAGCTGCATGTGCATAAATCCTACTGGTTTTAAGAGCTGTTACATATTATTTGAGGGGAAAAAAATGAAGGGCCACTCAGAAATACATATTTTATATTTTGATGTAGTCACAAGTTGTGTGTTAAATTATTCAATTGTCATAAATTGATGAATTGCTACTTTTTGCATCTTTTCACTTGGAGCAATGAAAATACACTATGTGATTTCACTTTTGTTCACAGCTTCAGTTTCAAGTTTATGTATAATGAATGGGTGTTGCAGCTTGCTTGCAGAAGAAAATACTGTAGTGTTTGTTTCAGTTAATTTAATGGAAACAATTTCATTCTGTTTTCCTACTGCTGTGTAAGACTTTCTGAGTGATATGACTGTCCTTCATGGTTTAGATTCTTAATTTGTGAAATTTACAAATATCTGAAGTTTTCAGAGTATGGTGCTTAGAAGTTTTCTGTGCAATGTCTTAAATTAAGCAACTGACATTACAAACTAACCCAGGAAAAGTAAGCTTAAATTAGGCCCAGGGTTTCTTATAAATGAGGTGTTTGTAGCGGAGCAGGGCAGAATACATTTCTGCTGTATATGTATTTGTGTTTCATTTTGATAGTCTGTTTCGAAAATGCATATATTTCATTTAAGCTTTGCCTGATATAACTGGAAACTCTTTTCTATAACTGGAAACAAAATTGTATTGTTTTTGTTTAGGGCATGAACGTTTTTTCCCTTTTTTTTTCCTTTATTCTCCCCTGTTTTGTTTAAACCACTTTTCCCTTCAGTTTCTGAAGGTGGGCATTGAAATTAAAAACTAGCTGTCATCCAGCTTCAGTTTGCAGTTGTGGATTTTGTGGTAGCAGTGCATTGATCTGGCCCCTGCTTGCCCTGGTGCCTTGGAAAAGGAGGTTCATGGCAGTGATGTAAAAGGTAGAGTTGGGTGCCAGTGGTGACATCAGGTGAGTGATGTGGGCAGGGTGAGGGTCCTCCTGCAAGGGAGGTGCAGGACAGTTCTAAATCGGTGATAGACTGAGGACCCAGCATCCGGACTGTGTGTTACCAGTCTGCGGGTACGTTTTGTCCTTCAAATTCATGGGCGTGTCTGGTTTGAGTGTGAACAGTCACGCTGCCGTCCTTCAAAGCTGAGGAAGTCATGGGCAAACCTTGCAGGGTGGTCACCTTGGCAGCAAGAGGTCTCAGCATGTGGAGGGTGCTCCTGCAGAACAGTTGTGTCTACTGCTCTTTGCTGGGAAAGGGCTGAAGCTCAAGTGCAAGCTCGTATTCATGCAAAAAGTGTTTGTGTGTGTTCTTCCAGTAATGTTTTAAAGGTCAAAGTCTGCAACCCTCTCCACATGGCAGAGTATGGCCGTGCTGAGCAGTTTGGATCCTGTTCTTGAGACCTCTGGGAGCGTTGGCTCAAAAATTATTTGTTGGGTTTTCTTAAGTGGCAAGGAGAAGAAGAAAAAAGCTGTTTGCCTGGCATGGTCTGTTGCTTTGGGCCAGGCTCCTTACTCGAAGAGGCTGGGAAACAGCTGTGTATTGGTAAATAAGTGGTATGTGTGAGAGGGAATTCCCAACCTGAGTTGGCATTCTTGTTTCACTCTGATTAGTGTAATATACTTTGATAAATGTAAATGCCTTTTCTGTTTTATGTCAAATACTTTGGCTGACACACTTGGTACTTCCCCTAAAGAGATGTAACTCAAGTGAGATTTTTTTCTTTTCTTTAAATTAGACTGCCTTTAAGGATTTTTAAAAAATAAAACCTGAAATTGAAATGTAATTTATGCTGTTGTCCAGAACACAAAGGACATGAAATATAACAGTGGAAATTAACTCTACTATTGAAAACTTATCTTGGTTTTTTTAAGTGTAGCATTTTATTTCATGTTACAGTGATATTTTCAATGCAACTGTCATCCTTTAAATTATTAGTTGGCTTAGATTTTTTTAATTTTATTTTGTACATTCAACCGTTTAAAACATAAACTAATTTTAAATAAATGAAAAATAGCTTGTGAGAAACAAGTAGTGTAAAACTGACAACTAATAATCCATTTCTCACTTAAAAATCAATCTTGCTTTTTCCCCATTGTTTATCCATTTCTTCCTAAAAAAGCAGCCAAAGTGAAGACACTTAATTTTCATATCAGAATGTGTCACTGTAACAACAATTAATCTTATGTCAGGATTTCTTTCTGTTGTAACTGGTTGGCATGGTGCATCATTGAAATTCCAATAACATCGTGTAGAAATTTCTGCAGAAATGCGGTATGAACTAACATAACATATATAACTAACAGATGAGGGCTGCTAGGTTTTTTTTTCAGTTCTGGAAAGTGCAGGAGTTATTTAAAGATAAAATAATCAGCTTAAACATGTAAGGGAAGGTTATATAGATTTCCTAATTAATGCATCTTGAAAAATAAACAAAAGCAAAATGCTTGTCATTTGGTACTAATGTGGTGGAATAGTGTGGCAACAGGATCCCTGCTTTTCACTTGGCCTCTCGTAAAGATTCAACTTCACTTCAGCTGTAAAAATGTGCAAATTACATTACTACTACATGACTGACTTTTGTAATTACATTAAGCGATTGAGATAAATCCCAGTGCTGGGTTCCCAAAAGAATGCTTGCAGCTGTGTGATTTTCACATCTGATCCTATGGTTTGTTGTACCCAGCAATGCCTGCTTTTTTTTTTTTTTGCCTTCTTTTTTTTTTAGAGGAGTCTGTTTGGTTAAGAGGTCATGTTGGGCACAAGATGGAAGAATAAAGCAAGATTGCTTTCTAGGGTGTACCACCCAGAAATTTGTTTTGTGGAAAAGATTAGCAGGCCATGATGATTTTCACAGAAAGGCAGGTGCGGTATTGTCCGTGTGGCACACTTGCGAGCTTCACATGGACATAATGCACATGTAGTACACAGAAACCATGCTGAGACATTGCAATCTGTGTGTCTGCTCATTTGCTGGAGAAAATAAATTGTTTTGCCGTCCTAAAAGTGAATATTATGCATATTTTCCTTTACAGAAGCCAAATTAGACGTCGGTGGAGGTATAAGGTTGGATACTCAATTTTTTTATAGAACAGATAATTAAACTGGTTTATGTGTCCATAGAATGGGAAAGAAGAATATTTGTTCTCAAATTTTGTAGTTAAATTTATTGTTTGGAAGGTCAGGCAGAGGAAGGAGATTTTCCTAGTAAGTTCAGCTACCCAGATTTGCAAATAGGTGAAAGTTAGAAACTTGATTTCTATTTGAATGGATATCACTGCTCTAAAATAAAGATTAAAAAATATTTTTTTTATTATTTACAGTACAAGTAATAGATGTTAACTTGTGTGGAAAAACAAATAATATGATGAATAAGTTTTCAGATTTGCATTTGTCTGTGGATATTAGGAATTGACAAGGGATCGCACTGAAAAAAATAATTGTATTCTTTCATAACTGATTTTTGCTATGTGTAGTTTGGAGCTTGAAGTCATATAAGTCCATTCTATCTGACTAAAAAGAAAGTTAACTAGAAAAATAAAGCAAAATATGTTGATTCTCCAAATCTAGGATACACTTCAGCAAAAAGACATTTCTGTTGTTGGTAATAAATTTTCTTTCAAGTTTACTTACTTGTTAGGGGCTGCTGTTAATTATACATGTTGCAAAGAAATTAAAACTGAATCATTGGCAAAAAATTTTTTAGACATTGTTATTTTTATCCACGGATTCTTCCCTTTCTTGTCCACATAATTATTATGAGGTGTAGCACAAGTCACATGAGTGTAGAGGATCAAAAGTGGTGCTTGAATAGCTTGCTTCTTCACACTGTGCAGACGTGTTTTTTAGTTTATAACATTCTGGCAGAATCAGAGACGTAAAATTGCAATTTGTAATCTTTAATTTGGTAGAACTGCAACACTGTGAGAGAAACTGGACTTTTCAAACGTAGAGCTAGTGACCATTTCAGAAGAGAATCATGCTGTTTTTCTAAGGGTTAGATTCACGTTGTTGTATGGTGTTGAAAAAAAAATTTTAATTTTTTAAATAAAAAAGGAGTGCCAGACGATTTAGTAGCATTTCATAATACAGCATGATAAGAACCTGGTAAAAGAAAGGCAATCTATTAACCTTGCTTTTACTGTGAAGACCTTCAGCTGAAGTACCAGAGTTGTATTCAATAGAAAAGGCTTGACCTTGACATAAAAGTGGAACCCTTATTTCTAATTTAAAAAAAAAAAAAATTTGCATTGAAAACATGAGCAAAAGTGTTTAGTTCCCTGGCTGAAAGAAAAATTGGATTCCATTTATCTTTTTGCTTGCATACCATCTGCAGCCCCAGGCACAGCTCGGTTTCAGCAAGGGCGGTGCAGAAGTCCATGTGCGCTGCAACTGTTTGAAATACTGGCAAAACGAATTGACGGGGAAGCTGTGATAAGTTTTCCCAATGTCTTTTGCAAGTGGATGTGTCAGCACTGTGCGTGTTTGCACACCTGGTCTGGTGACTTGCTCTGATTCATGGTCTGAATCATTGTCTGTGTTAACGCTGGGCTTAGGACTCTCCCTCACACACCCATGAGGCTGGTGCTGTGCGGCTGTGGGACAGAACCGTGTTCCCTGCCTCCAGAGAGCTTACCAGACAAGACTATAGGTGAGCAGAAGTAGGTAAAAAAAAAAAAAAAGCCGAGGAAAAGAGTGGCAAGACAAGAGAGCACAGTAAGCAGGAGCTGTAGCAGGGGATCAGTCTCCGTGTGCTGGCCTCTATCCTCAGCGTCTGGGGCGAAGGGGGGTTGCTGGCCTGGGGGAGAGCAGGGAGATGGGGGGAAGCTTTGCTGAAGGTGAAGGCTGCACCTGAACACAAATACATCTGTCTGGGAGATGAAGGAGTGAGCGTTGGAGGCGGATGTCATGGTGGAAGCAGAGGCAGGTGCTGGCCCATGGTCAGAGGGGTGTGGTGGTCTGCGGGAGGGTGTCTCTGCAGCCAGGTGTGCTTTGCTGAGGGAAAAGGAGGGTGTGGCACAACCTCGGTGAGAGTTTTCCCGGTGTGACTGGGTTAGAAAGGCCACCTCTGCAATAAAACTGCAGGAGGGGTCTGACAGAGAGGCGTAGTCTGACTGTGTGAGCCCCAAAATGGTCGCAGTCGGATCTGCTGTCCCCACTGTGGAGGGACAGGCCTGCCCGGGGCTGATGGCCACAGGGCCTGAGAAGGGCAGAGAGGTTGTGGGGCAGCACATCAGCTCTCTAAAAGATGTGATTGTGAACAACAGACAGAAATCAATCTATGAATTAAATTACTTTCATGCTTTTCACCTGCCTTGCTCTTGTTAACATTTAACGAGGTCCTTTATAAACAGGTATTACTGCACGCAGCTGAATGGCTTGGAGTACTTCTTTTCTCAGAACACTGACCAGGAGCTGAAGGCCCTTGTGGATAGCGGCAGATGGCAGCCATTTCGATGGAATCCTTCTGCTGGGGTCCTTGTGTCTATCTATAGTGGCATAAAAGTAACTTTTCGTATCTGAAAACATGCATGTTAAAACATTTCAGGATTGCAAGATTGTGTTGTCAAGAGTCTATGGAACAGTTCAGTGCAAATTCACTTTAAAAAATTACATATTACCCTTTTGATTAATAACGTGCTTGTAGCCTTGGGTTAATATTGCAGAAGGACCCTCCAGCCCCAATTTCTAGAAGTATTAGCTATCATTACCAGCATCTTCTATTAAGACTGACCAACTCTTCTCATGTCAACTAAACATTCACCTTCAGGCCTGTCTGTCATTTATCACTGAGCTGGGGACACTGAGCAGAGTTAAATTAAAAACAGCTGTCCCTCCTCTGTCTTGGTATATGTCCTTAAAAATATCTGCATGGAATAAGTGAAGCAGCAGATAATGTTTGTAATGGCAAAGCAAAACTTTTCCATCAAGACTTCTTCATAGATACGAAAAACTAGTAAAATGTCATGTGGATTGTGTTTGTAAAATCTATTAAAAAATCAAGAGGCAGTAATTAAAACCTTCTGAATGAAAGGAGGTTCCTAGACTTCTGTGACAACATACAGGCCTTTTCTGAATTTACTACTACTTCTCCTTATCCCTATACTAATTATCCATCTTTGTGGCAATCGGATGTCTGGTTCTCATTTATTGTGTTTTATAATTGCGTATTCATCCAGCTCTTATTGCAAAGCTGGATGCTTCAGCTTTGTTTTCCCCCCCTTAAATAATTTATATGTAAGGTTCAGCAAATGGAACCTTGCTACTTGTGTGAAGCTGCCATTTAACCATGAAGTGAAATGCTTTTATTGAGTTTGCCCTGCAGATATGGTCCGCTGTGGCAGTGCTGTCCATATTTGGTGGCTGTGCAAGGAGAGCCAGGTGGTGCTGCAAAGCGTAGCACAGTGAAGCGTGGACAGATCTAGGTTTGACATTTGTCATCCTGTACTGCTAAAGGGAAGAGAAAAATCTGCTTTTCCATATGCTTATGCTTTAATTTTTGCCTGCAGTTTTGTCCAGATGGCCTTGTGAACATTGTTTACTTTAAGATGCTGTCCCAGATGTTTTTGAATGCCGATGGATAAATGCAACAACTGTGGTATACTAATACACAAATTATTTACACAATTGTGGCTTTTTTTCCCCCCCATTTTTAAAGATTTTTAACTATCTCTCCTCCCCAGCACTTCTCTGTATAGCATACTTTTCTGAGGGGAATAAATCTCCACTTACATTACTAAATTTCTGACAGTGAGCAGTGCTTTTGAGTTGCGGACACTTGGAGCTCCCATTCTCCTGCTAAGGTTCTTTTGGGGCTCTGCATGGGTGGACAAGTCTCAGAAACTGTAGTGTGCCCCTTGTAAGCATGTCAATTAGAAAGGTGTTGCTGCATGTAGCCCATAAAACAGTGACTGTTTCAGGGTGTGAGCAGTTCCCAAGCTGTTTGTCATTCCTTGCGTTCAAAAACACGTCTGCTTTTTTCAAGGAGAACTTGATCTCTTACTTTGCCCTTGTACTGTCTTAATTTTCCACACCAGTGGAAAGGAGAATATTTTAAAGCTGTGTAAGCAGGATTACCAAGAACATTTAAAAATGTTTTTAAACAGCAAAGCACCTCTAACTACGTTTTGACAAACTTGGATACAGTTTGGAAAAATAATTATGCCTTGATGGTTCTATAGGCTGCAGACAAACTGTTGGAAGCTTGTTGCCAGATACAATAGATATTTAATGCCTTTTTAAAAAATTTAATTATATTTTTTTCATCTTTTAAGCAATAAATTACCTAGGAGTGTACATAAAAGAACCTTTTGACATAAGCATTTCATTAACGTAAATAGGTCTGTTAGTTTTTTTCTCAAGAACAGTTTAATGAGACTTCAATGTGAAACTCATTAGAACAAATATATGAATTCATATGTCAAGACAGAGATTGCAGCATCACAGTTCTTGGCATCTATTAAGTCCATAACTCGTTTACATTGACATGCATTGTTAATCAATATTTAAGACACTGCAGATGTCAGTAATGTTCATATTTAGTCCTGCAACCATGACAATATGAAAGTTGCTAGTAGAATTTGAGGCTAAATATTGTTATCTCAAGTCTTTCCATTACCTCTAGGCTACAAGTTAATGACTGTCCAACTTTGCTGCCCCAAATCTATTTAAATAATAAGGGAAATAAGGAAATACACTGGTAGCATATTTCATTGCAGTTTTATCAAATGTTTGTTATATAAAATTAAAACAACAGCGTTGTATACATTTGGATTGTGTTGAAAATTATGCAGGCTGTGACAAAGGGAGGAGGGTGGAGGAGCAGATGTAGTATTTGGGGAAACTGATAACAACTCCCGTTTGGCTGTTGACCAAGTTGTACAGGGCAATTCAAACAGAGCACAATGATTGATAAAGACTTGCAGCATTCAAGAGGTAACTTTCGGATACCTCTCTTGAAATGCATCACAAGCAGCCTTTCTGTGGTGTTTCTAGTGTGTCTAATGAACGTACATCTTAACTGCCTATTGTTAATAAACTAACAGAGCCTGTTTTACTTTATTTATTGCTTGGGTGATTGAAGAAGTTACAGTCTTACGGGACAGTGTGATTATTGTGGAAGGTTTTGTTGGATATATGTACTTACTGAGATTTTTTTCCCAGGGGTTTAACTGCTAATGTCTCTTTTTTTTAAAGATTACATAAAGCAGCTTAGAGTGCCATCAAGGTATCTTTCCTCCTATGTTAAAAATGATAAATGTAATCCATGGAAGGACTGAATTGATTAAACTGTGCAATTATATGATAATACTAATCTATAGTTTAATTATAGGTTCATCAAAAATCATACGACTCCATGAAGAAAACAGTGAAACAAGTGAAATACTGAAAGGAAAAAGTTCTGGTAATGGTGCATCTGTTCCAGTCAAAGGAATAAATAATTTAGGAAATACGTGCTTTTTTAATGCTGTCATGCAGGTAAGATGAAAAGATCATACATCTTTCTCTTTATAGATTTCAGAAATAATTAATCTGTACAAACTGTGGACTTCAGAGGAGGTTCTGACTGTTGCCAGTCTTCGTTCTGTTTTTGAAGGTCCTTTCAAATTCTTTTCGCTCCTTGTTATCCAAGCAATATTTCCTGTTATAACAAAAAAGAATTCCTGAATCAGTAGCATTTTTCACAGTAATGAGACAAATGAAAATGTCAAGTGTTTTACACATTGCATATGTGTGTGGGTTGTACTGTAGCATATGGTTTTATTTGTAGTTCAGCATTAGGCAGTCATGAGTAACGCACAGTATTTACCATACTGGTGGGTGTGAAAAGTGGTACTTTATGCATAATGTAAATGTCTGCACCGTGCGTTGTGATGATCTTAATGCCCTACAATGGATGCAGTTACAAAAGTACTTTTACTAATGATGGGTTTTTTTCTGACCAGAATAAAAGGAATGAGCTATACCAATACACTTTTGTTGATGTTCAGTGTACAACTAATCCAACATCCTAAAAAAAGCAGCAGCCTTAGCGGGTTTTATATTGGAGCATCCTATTGCTTGTCAGTTGAGCAGAGATGTCTGTATGTCTGCAGACAGGAGTGAGCAAATGAAAGAAAACTGCTACAGAAGTGTGCTGAACTGGCACTTCTTACCTTGTGGTTATGGTGGTGATTACAAAACTCAGTCAAGAAATAGTAATTTTGTAAGGAGTAGAATTATTGCAAATTGTTCTCTGTCCATACTTAGGGAAAATTGTAGAAATCTAAGTGATCTGCAGTCAAAATTAACCAAAAATAAAGAAACAAAGCTGAGATACATTGAATTAATTTTCTCTTGAATTCAGAGAGGTTTTCACTGTGCCAAAGTCCTTATGCTTCTTGGGCCATGATGAGGGGGGCTGCAGATTTTAAGAAACAAATATTTTCTGAGGTTAATGTCCTCCTCATAAAAAACTCTAAAAATTCACAAATCTTGTTGTTCAACAAAAATAACAAAGTTATTACTGGGAAACTATTTTGGAATTACAGAAACAGAAGTAGATACAATTTTAGAAACACTTTGAGATCAATGATTTTGTTTCTTATAAGGGTGATATCTGCTTTTTCTAGTGGTCTGATTTAAACCTCAGTTGTACATTATTAAATATATCTGGTTTTGTCCATCCTTGAAGTTAGAATTTGTAACTAAAGAAAAACGTATAGCTGAAAGATCAGCATGTGTTTCTTGGTTTTATTTTTTAAAGAACTTGGCACAGACTCACATACTAAACGAACTTATGTATGAGATGAAGGAGAAAGGAACAAAGTTAAAAATCTGTCATACTTCAGACTCCCAGTTGGTAAGTATACAGCGAGAAATACAAATTTGGAGAAATGTGGGAAGAAGCTGGAGGATGGGAAAGTGCCCCTCTGTTAAAGACTTACTCTCCCATTTCTTTTTGTCTTTTAATTGTTTAGCCAGTATAAGATGTCTGTGACCTCACTCCTTTTACAAAACTAGTTATTCAGCTCTGAAGGAGGAGGAATAATCACCTCCTTTCACATTTTGTAACATTGAAGTAGCAAATAATCCCTGACCTTAAGAAAGAGTGGCTGGCTTTTTTTTTTTGTTTCCCGTTTAATTTCTTCAATATGCATGTAAAATACAAGAAATAGTATTTTTGGTTCTAGAAAGTGTTCACGAAATACTTTGTTCCAGTTTGTCTCAGATCTTCATTGATGAGGCTTGTAAAATTTATTACGTGCTTCACGTGCCAGAGGATTAAACTGAGAAGCAAAACTTCAGTGAGGACCAAATTTCTTGTCCTCATGCTCACTGGAGGCATGTGGGAGACTCCTGTTGTTATTATCAAAAGTATATGCTGCTCTTCCCAGTCATGTCTTAGAGACTTGTTTTTTTTAATATGTTTTTGGCAATAAAGATACCTTTATAAAGATAAAAATACCTTTTTCCCTGAGCTAGCTAAAGAAAGCAACTTACAGAGGACTTTTTTTTTCCCTTTTTTTTCTTTTTCTGCTGTTTGCTGGGAGCTGGTGGCAGTGAGGGTTGAGGGGTGGGATTCTGTTTGAGATGTCGCTGAAATAATAATTTCTTTATGTTGCTGTTGGTGATGTTTGTGGCTTCTCCAGGGAAGAACAGTGTGAAATTCATTGCATTGTTGTCTGTATTACCTCCAGTGGCAGTTCTGAGCAGCAACACGTTTCACAAAGTTATCCTGAGCCACAGTGGAGGTCTGGAGCTTGTTTGTGCCCAGAGGCTTAGAAAGGCAGTGGTATGTTGGCTTACGCTTGATGTGAAACTTGCACAGCCATAGGTTGAAAGATTTTGTTGTTGTTGTTTAATAACAGTGCTTACACTATAAATAAGATCTTTGGAGCAAAGACTGTGTTTTCTGTTCTTTGTATGTCAGTGCAGGATTAAAGGGCTACAGTAGTGCAGCTATTAGGAATGTGGAAACTCCTAGCTTCCTGATTGGTGAAGGGCATTTTTGCACCTTTTGATAGTGTATATAATGCAAATACTTTATATTTTTGTGCATCCGTTGCATTTAGGTTTTGTGTGGATCTGCTTTCTGGACGAGGCACCCTCTCTAGTTGTTCATCCAGCAGTTGTAATCTGTTTCTGTGAGAGTCAGGCGAGCTGGTAGGAAGCACTGTGGTCACGTATGAACCTGGGAGCATGTTAGGGAGACCTGTCTCTCTGCGGCTGTTGAGACACCTGTGGCATGTAAGCAGTGCAGGAGAGTCTCCTGCTCTAAGAGTGGCTTGGGTGGCTGCTGGCCAGTCCCTTCCAGCCCCGGGACCTGCTGGCTGGGGCGAGTCTTGCACCAGGAGGGGCTGTGCAGGATGCACCCTGGGCCTGTCCCCTGCCAACATAGCGGACCTGTGGGGTCTGCTGTTGCCTCCTGCGGTGAACCACTGCCAGTGCCTTCCTGGCATCTGGTTCCTGGAGGAACAGAGTATGTTTCTGTGGCTGTTGGATGTGTGGAAATTTCAGTGTGCGACTCACAGATCAGAGAAGCTGGCCACTACTTCCCTAAGGTTGAGTAGACAGAGTGCCACTGAGCTCCATCTTCTGCCAGGAGAAGGTCACCTGTGTTGTCTCTCCAAGTGAATTTCATTGCACGTGGGAGTAAGAGTGATGCAGGTAGTACAGGAGGTAGTCTGTTTTTGTGAGAATTAGACTGGCTTATTGATATACCTGTTTCCAAAACCATTCGTTACCGAACAATTTGCTTGACAAGAGTTGTTCAGTTTTGCAACTACTACTGCTTAAATGATAAGCCTTCTCTTCAACTATTTCAATCATGTAATTTACAGTCACTGTAAGACTGAAAGTTACATTGTTCTTTGTCATAAATATACTAACTTGAAGTAAGTCTTGTGTGTCATTAACTTTGAAATTTGATGTGCAATTTCCCTTTCCTTTGAAGGATCCATTGGTGGTAAACCTCTCCAGCCCAGGACCTTTGACTTCAGCAATGTTCTTGTTCCTTCACAGCATGAGGGAGGCAGGAAAAGGTCCTCTTTCTCCCAAAGTGCTGTTCAGCCAGCTTTGTCAAAAGTATGTATTGTCAGTATCTTTTACTTCTTTATTTTTCATTTCCAGTGATATGTTTCTAAGTGTGCCACATCTGTTTTCCTTTCTAAGGTGCCCTTAGATTTTTACTGGGCAGTCCAGAAAAAATTATCTTTGTGTTTTAAAGTTGTAGGGCTCATTGTTGCTCTCCAGGGTTGTACCTGTTCTTCATTAAATGTATGGCCCAGTCCACAACCACTAACTTTCAATGGGCTTTGAACCGAATGTGAAAGCACAGAAGAGGCATGGTAAAACTGAAGAAAATATACTTACCTTTCACGATTTGTTGTATATTAGCATAAAGCTGTGCTAATACTGCAAAGTGTATGTAGGTATTTTGAAAAAAAGTGTAAGCTTTTAGATGGGAAGCCTCTGCTACGATGTCTGACCTTGGCATCAATTCAAGATTAAAAAGGGTCTAACAAGTAGGGACTTGAAGCAGTACTGAAATGGCATATGGCTCCAGATTGCAAAGAGCTTGCAAGCCCTAAAGAAACTCCTGTTTCTTGGCATGGAAAATGTTTACAGTGGTGCTTTGTAGGTACCTTCAATTATGATGCAAACAATCTTGCTTTTTAAAACACCTGTAGAAGACCTATTTAAAAGTTCATGCAAATAGTTAAATATTGACTTTATAAGTAAAAGAAGCTGTAGAGGCAGACTAGTTGGAGGATGATGTAGCTGAGTCTCACATTTTAAAAGATTAATAATGCATGTCAATTTATTTGCTACAGTATTATTGTATGGAATTGTAAGTGTTCTGCAGCAAAAGAGTTAGGAGGAAAGTTGCAGCTTCCTAGCATGGCATTCCAGGGCAACCTTACTATGCAAGCATGGGTTTAAAATATGGCATAACGAAACAAAAGCTTTTAGACTAGAGAACGGACAATTTATTTCTGATAAAGAAATCAGTTATTATTATCCTCAAAATTCAACTTCAGAATCACAGAATGTTAGAG